GTGTTGCTAATTTTAGCCGTTCTGAGAGGTGTGGGGTGGTATCTCATCATGGTTTTGATTTGTATTTCCCTGATGATGAGTGATGTTGAGCATCTTTTCATGTGTCTGTTAGTTATCTGGATGTCTTCTTTCAAAACATGTTTATTCATGTCTTCTGCCCATTTCTTAACTGGATTATTTGTTTTTTGGGTGTTGAGTGTAAGAAGTTCCTTTTGGAAAAAAAATTCCTTTTGGATTTTGAATCCTTATCAGATATGTCATTTGCAAATATCTTCTCCCATTCCATAGGTGGACTTTTAGTTTTATTGATTGTTTCCTTCATTGTGCAGAAGCTTTTTATCTTGATAAAGTCCTAATAGTTCATTTTTGCTTTTGTTTCCCTTGCCCCCAGCAGTGGGTCTAGTAAGATACTGCTAAAGCTGAGGTCAAAAGAGGTTTCTGCCTGTGTCCTCTCCTAGAATTTTGATGGTTTCTGGCCTCACACTTAGGCCTTTCATTCATTTTGAGTTTATTTTTGTGTGTGGTGTAAGAAAGTGGTCCAGTTTCATTTCACCATTTGTTGGAGACACTGTCTTTTTTTCTATTGGATATTCTTTCCTGCTTTATTGAAGCTTAGTGTCCATATAGTTGTGAGTCCATTTCTGGGTTCTCTATTCTGTTCCGTTGATCTATGTGTCTGTTTTTGTGCCAGTACCACACTGTCTTGATGACCACAGCTTTGTAAGGTAGTTTGAAATCCGGAATTGTAATGCCTCCAGTTTTTTCTTTTTCAGAATTGCTTTGGCTATTTGGGGTCTTTTGTGGTTCCACACAAATTTTAGGATTATTTGTTCTAGCTCTGTGAAAAGTGCTGGTGGTATTTTGATGGGGATTGCATTAAATGTGTAGATTGCTTTGGGTACTGTAGACATTTTAACAGTGTTCTTCTAATCCGTGAGCATGGGATGTTTTCCCCTTTCTTTGTATCCTCTTCAATTTCTTTCATTAGTGTTCCATAGTTTTCAGAGTACAGATCTTTTACCTCTTTGGTTATGTTTATTCCTTAGGTATCTTACAGTTTTTGGTGCAATTGTAAATGGGATTGATTCCTTGATTTCTCTTTCTGCTGCTTGATTAATGATATGTGGAAATGCAACAGATTTCTGCACATTGATTTTATATCCTGCAACTTTGCTGAATTTATGTATCAGTTCTAGTAATTTTTTGGTGGAGTCTTTAAGGTTTTCTACAGAGAGTATCATGTTGCCTGCAAAGAGTGAAAGTTTGACTTCTTCCTTGCCACTTTGGATGCCTTATATTGTCTGTTGCTTTATATTGTCTGATTGCTGAGGCCAAAACTTCCAATACCATGTTAAATAGTAATGGTGAGTGTAGACATCCCTGTCTTTCTTGACCCTGGAGGAAAAGCTCTCAGTTTTTCCCCATTGAGGATGATATTAGCTGTGGGTCTTTCATACATGGCCTTTATGATGTTGAGGTGTATTTGTCCTGTCTCTACTTTCTTGAAGGCTTTTATCAAGAATGGATGCTGTATTTTGTCAAATGCTGTTTCCGGACCTGTTAACCGGATCATCTGGTTCTTATCCTTTTATTAATATGGTATAGCCTGTTGTTGGATTTGTGAATATTGAACCACCCCTGCAGCCCAGGAATAAGTCCTACTTGATCATGGTAAACAATTCCTTTAATGTACTGTTGGATTTGATTTGCAGGTATCTTGTTTAGAATTTTTACATCTTTATTCATCAGGCTTATTGGCCTGTAATTCTCCTTTTTAGTGAGGTCTTCGTCTAGTTCTGGAATCAAGCTAATGCTGGTGTCATAGGAGGAGTTTGAGAGTTTTCCTTCCATTTCTATTTTTTTGAAACAGTTTGAGAAGGTCAGGTGTTAGCTCTTCTCTCGTTGTCTGGTAGAAGTCCCCTGGGAAGCCATCTGTCGGGACCTCTGTTTGTTGGGAGATTTTTGATTACTGATTCAATTTCTTTGTTAGTTATGGGTCTGCTCAAATTCTCTACTTATTCCTGTTTCAACTTTGGTAGTTTTGTATGTTTCTAGGACTTGCCTAGTTTTATTCTTTTATAATTCTTTGTATTTTTGTGGTGTTGGTTGTGATTTCTCCTCTTTCATTTGTGATTTTATTTATTTGGATTCTTTATCTTTTCTTTTTAATGAGTCCAGCTTAGGGACTTTATCAATTTCATTATTTTTTTTGAAGAACCAGCTCTTAGTTTCATTGTTCTAAGTTTTAAAATTTTGATATCATTTATTTGATTTCTAATTTTTATTCTCTTTTTCTGCTGGCATTAGGCTTTATTTGCTGTTCCTTTTCTAGCTCCTTTAGGTCTAAGGTTAGATTGTGTATTCAAGACTTTTCTTGCTTCCTGAGATAGGCCTGTATTGCAACATACTTCTCTTAGAACTGCCTTTGCCAAAGGTTTTGGGCTGTCAAGCTTTCATTTTCATTCGTTTCCATGTATTTTTTAATTTGGTCTTTCCTACTCTTCTTCTTCTGGGACTCCTGTGATACAGGTTTATTTCTTTTTATAGAATTACTGAGTTCCCTAAGTCTGTATTCATGATCTAATAGCTTTCTTTCCCTCTTCTTTTCAGCTTCATTATTTTCCATAATTTTATCTTCTAGATCACTCACTCATTCCTCTGCAGCTTGCACCCTTGTGATTACATCCAGTTGGGATCTAGGTAAGCCAAAATTAAAAATGCTATAACCAAGATGTAATCCTGTCTGCAGCAAGGGTTTCTCTAGAGTCTTCTATTTTTTTTCAAGCCCAGCTAGTATTCTAATGACTGTTGTTCTGAATTCTTATTCAGCTATATTACTATACCTGTTTTGAGCAAATCCCTGGCTGTGGGTTCTACTTGATCTTTCTTTTGGGGAGAATTTGTCTGTCTTCCACGCTGTGGCAGGGTTTCTTTTTTTCAGCTCTGGTTGTTCATTTTGATTTTCTCTATCCCTGGATTGATTTCTTGGGTATTCAAAATGATTTGATATTTATCTAGCTGTGTTCAAGGGAAGAGGCAAGGCTAAGGTCTCCCTACTCTACCATCTTAACTCCCAACTCCTTAATGCCTATCCTACTCACAGTTTCCTTCCTTTTTTTTTCTTTTTTAAGATTTTATTTATGAGAGAGAGAGAGAGAGAGAGAGAGAGAGAGAGAGAGAGTAAAAAGAGCTGCAGGCAGAGGGAGAAGGAGAAGCAGACTCCCTGCTGAGCTGAGAGCCTGATGTGGGGCTTGAACCCAGAGCCCTGGGATCATGACCTGAGCTTAAAGGCAGATACTTGGGGATCCCTGGGTGGCTCAGCGGTTGAGCTGAGGGATGTCTGCCTTCATCTCAGGGCGTGATCCTGGGATCCGGGATTGAGTCCCACATCGGGCTCCTTGCATGGAGCCCGCTTCTCCCTCTGCCTGTGTCTCTGCCTCTCTCTCTCCTCTCTCTCTCTCTCTCTCTGAGTCTCTTATGAATAAATAGATAAAATCTTAAAAAAAAATAAAGGCCGATACTTAACTGACTGATCCACTCAGGTGTCCTTACCTGCAGTTTCGACCTCCCAGGAATGAAACCTTTAACCACTCATTCTGAAATCACCTGGCCAGCACTAGTGAGGTATTCCACCTACTAGACCCTTCTCCTCCCCCTAGGAGGATGACTTTGCCTCAACATAGTGTATTCTTTGCTGATAATTTTTTTCTGCTCCATTTCTGCCTTTAAAAAATGTTGACTTTTCTAAAGCTCAGAGGAGCTCCTTTGTATTGGGATGCCGCCTGCTTTCCATGAACTGTTTGATCTTTAAATTTACTCATCTGATTTTTTTGTTATTCAACAACCCTTTGAGAGTTGAGTTAAAGTTATATTTATTTACTTAGCCTTTTACAAAAACAACTGAAGTTGATTAAAATCTTAAAATTCCTAAGAGCACCACTAAAAGTTCAAAGAGAGCTAAGGACGTTTGTTAGAGCCTTGAATGCGAATCTCTGTTCTGTAACTAACCAGGGTTCTTAGTGTGAAGTCTGTGGAACAACAATGAATTCTTCTAATGAGTTCTGTGCAAATTGTTTTATTTATTTGCAAATAAGAATTTTTTCTGCCAAGAGCTTCCATGGCTTTAAGCAAATTCTCAGAAGTCTAAGACTCAAAGAAGATTAATAGCTAGTGAACTACATACAAAAAATTTGTCCTTTTGGTAACTGCATTTTTTTAAGTATATTTAATTTTTTTTATTTTTGGCTTTAAATTTTTTAAATCTTAATTCTAGTTAACACGGTGTTAAATTAGTTTCAGGTGTACAATATAGCGATTTAACAATTCCATAGATCAATCGGTGCTAATCATGACAGGTGCACTGCTTTTTTCCCCATCACTTGTTTAACCCATTTCCCTCACGTCTCTTGTAACCATGTTTGTTCTCTAAAGAGTCTATTTCTTGAGTTATATTTTTTCCCTTTGTTTTGTTTCTTAAATTCTACATGTTGAGTAAACTCATATGGTATCTTTCTCTGATTTATTTTGCTTAGTACTATACTATCTGGCTCCATTCATGTCACTGCAAATGGCAAGAACGCATTTTTGACCGCTGAGTAATAACATTCCATTATATGTATAACATATTATACACACACACACACACACACACACACACACACACACACACACCACCATACTACCATTCTTTATTCATTCATCAATCAGTGGACACTTGAGCTGCTTCCAATATCTAGGCTATTATACATAATGCCAGGAAAAATATAGGGGTGTATGTACCCCTTTAAATTAGTGTTCTTGTATTCTTTGGGTAAATACCCAAAGTAGTGTGATTACTGAATCATAGGGAAGCTGTATTTTTAACTTTTTGAGGGTTTTCCATACTGTTTTCCAGAGTGGCTGCACCAGTTTGCAGTTTGCTGTTCCCGTCAGCAGTGCATGAATATTCCTTTATCTCCACATCCTCACTAACACCTGTTAGTGTGTTTCTTGTGTTGCAGAGTTCAACAAGTCTGACAGGTGTGAGGTGATATCTCCTTGTGTTTTGATTCGCATTTTCCTGATGGTAAGTGATGATGAACATCTTTTCATGTGTTTGTTGGCCATCTGTATATCTTCCTTGGAGAACTGTCTGTTCATGTCTTCTCATTTTTCAAATTGGATTATTTATTGTGTGGGTGTTGAGTTGTGTAAGTTCTTTTTACGTGTTGGATACTAGGATATGTCATTTATGAATATCTTTTCCCATTCTTTTAGTTTTGTTGATTGTTACCCTCTGGTTACTGTGCTGTACAGAAGCTTTTTATTTATTGTAGTCCCCATAGTTTATTTTTGCTTTTGTTTCCTTTGCCTCAGACATATCTTAGAAAAAAGTTGCATTGGCCAATGTCAAAAAAGTTACTGCCTTTGTTCTGTTCTAGTATTTTTATGGTTTCAGGTCTCATGTTTAGGTATTTAATCCATTTTGACTTTATTTTTGTGTATGGTTTAAGAAAGTGGTCCAACTTTTTCAGTATTATTTGTTGAAGGACTGTTTTTCCCATTGGATATTCCTTCCTGCTTTGACAAAGATTAATTGACCATTATGTATATAGTGACTATATAGTTGTAGATCTATTCCGGGTTTTCTATTCTGTTCTATTGATCTATGTGTCTATTTTTTTGTGCCACTACCATACTGTTTTTTGATTGCTACAGCTTTGTAATATATCTTGAAGTCCAAAACTGTGATGCCTCCAAATCTGCTTTTTTCAAGATTGTTTTGGTTATTTGGAGTGGATTGTTCTAGTTCTGTGAAAGATGCAGTGAGTATTTTGATAGGGATTTCATTAAATGTATAGATTGCCGTGGGTGGTATAGATATTTTAACTTATTCTTCTAATCCATGGGCATGGAATGTCTTTCCATTTCTTTGTATTGTCTTCAATTTCTTTCACTAGTATTTTATAGTTTTCAGAGTACTGGTCTTTTATTACTTTGGTTAGTTTTATTCCTAGGTATCTTATTACTTTTGGTGCAGTTGTAAATGGGATTGTTTTCTTAATTTCTCTTTCTGCTGCTTCATTATTGGTGTATAGAAATGCAAAATATTTCTGTACATTGGTTTTATATACTGTGACTTTACTGAATTTGCTTATCAGTTCTGGCAGTTTTTTGGTCTTCTAGGTTTTCTATATATAATATCATGTCATCTGCAAGTAGTAAAAGTTTTACTTCTTCCTTATCACTTTCATGCCTTTTATTCCTTCTTCTTGTCTGATTGCTATGTTTGTCTGATTGCTAGTACTTTGTTAAGAGTGGTGAGAGTGGACATCCTTGTCTTGTTCCTGACCATAGGGAAAAAGCTCTCTGTTTTTCCCCACTGAGGATGTTTGCTTTGGATTTTCCATATTAGGCCTTTATTATGTTGAGGCATGCTCCCTCTAAACCTACTTTATTGAAGGTTTTTTTTCTGCATCTATTGATGATCATATGGTTCTTATTGTTTCCCTTCTTGATGTGATATAACATGTCAATTGATTTGTGAATATGGAACCACCTCTGCAACTCAGGAATGAATCCCACTTGATGGTGAATCATTTGGTTAATGTACTGTTGGATTCAGTTTACTAGTATTTTGTTGAGGATTTTGGCATCTATGTTTTTCAGGGATATTGGCCTAGGAGTACTCTTTTTTAGCAGTATTTTTATCTGGTTTTGGTCTTAGAGTAATGCTGGCCTCATAGAATGAATATGAAAGTTTTGCTTCCTTTTCTATTTTTTGCAATAATTTGAGAATAAATAATAACTCTTCTTTAAATGTTTGATAGAATTTGCATCTAAAGCCATCTGGTCCTAGACTTTTGTTTGTTAGGTTTTTGATTACTGACTCAATTTCTTTGCTGGTATTGGTCTATTCAACTTGTCTATATCTTCCTGTTTCAGTTTTGTAGTTAATATGTTTCTAGGAAGTTATATCATCTAGGTTTTCCATTTTGTTGGCATATACTTTTTCATAGTACTCTCATAATTGTATATCTGTGCTGTTGGTTGCCATTTGTACTCTCTCATTTTTGGCTTTATTTATTTAAATCACTTCTCTTTTTTCCTTGATGGGTCTGGCTGAAGGTTTACCAATTTTATTGATCTTTTCAAAGAACCAACTTTTGGTTTCATTGCTTTGTTCCATTTTTTTTTTTTAAGTTTCTGTATCATTTAATTCTGCTCTAACCTTTCTTTCCTTCTGCTGTTTTTGGATTTTGTTTGTTCTTTTTCTAGCTCCTTTCAGGTGTAAAGTTAGATTGTTTGAGACTATTCTTTTCAGATGAGGCCCATAGTTCTATAAACTTACCTCTTAGAACTGCTTTTGCTGCATCCCAAATGTTTTGGATCACTGTTTTCATTTTCATTTGTTTCCATGTATGTTTTAATTCTTTGATTTCCTGGTTGACCAATTCATTGTTTCGTAGCATGTTATTTAATTTCCATGTGTCATCTTTCTTGATTTTTTTTCTTGTGGTTGACTGCTAGCTTCATAGCACTATAGTCAGAAAAGATTCTGACTTTTGATCAGTCTATGGTGTGACTTTGATCTTCTTGAATTTGTTGAGGCTTGTTTTGTGACCTAACATATGATCTATTCTAGAGAATGTTCTGTGTGCACTTGAAAAGGATGTGTATTCTGCTGTCTTAGGATGAAACATTCTGAATATATCTATTAAATCCAACTGTTCCAGTGTGTCATTCAAAGCATTGTTTGTTGATTTTCTTTTCTTTTAAAGATTTTATTGATTTATTTATGAGAGACAGAGAGAGACAGACAGACACAGGCAGAGGGAGAAGCAGGCTCCATGCAGGGAGCCTGATGTGGGACTGGAACCCGGGACCCTAGGATCACGCCCTGGGCTGAAGGCAGGCTCTAAACCGCTGAGCCACCCAGGGATCCCTCTTGGTTGATTTTCTGTTTCGATGGTCTGTTCATTGATATGGGCGGATATTTATTACCTGTTTTGTGCATTTGGGTGCTCCTATGTTGGGTGCATAAGTACTTAAAATTGTTTTATCTTCTGGTTGGATTGTCCCTTTTCTTATTATATAGTGTCTTTTCATTTCTCTTGTTATAGTTTTTGTTGTAAAGGCTATTTTTTCTGATAGAAGGATTGCTACTTCAGGTTTATTTTGCCATCCATTTAGAGAATGGATGTTTTTCCATCCCCTCCCTTTCAATGTCTTTAGATCTAGGAGTCTCTTGTAGGCAGGATATAGATGCATCTTGTTTTTTTTATCCATTCCGTCACCATATGTCTTTTGATTGGGGTGTTCAGTCCATTTACTTTCAAAATAATTACTGATAGGTATTTATTATTACTTTTTTTTGTGGTTTCTGACGATTTTCTCTGATCTTTTGTCTTTCATGGTTTGCTGATTTTCTTAAATGATATATTAGGATTTCTTTCTCTTCATTGCATATTTATTAGTGATTTTTGATATATGGTTACCATTAGGTTTGCATATAACTTCTTTTGCATGTAGCAGTGGATATTAAGTTGATGATTGTTTAAGTGAACCCCTTCTTTGTTCCTCCTATGTTTTAGGTATATGTTGTCATGTTTTACATCCTTTTGTGAGTTCCTTTACTGATGCTTTATTTTATTTATTTTTTTACTGATGCTTTAGAGATATATTCATTTTAACTCCTTTTGTGTTTCCTATCATTATACTATTGTTTTTGGTCCTCCTTTTCACTCAGAATCCCCTTTAATAGTTCTTGGAGGGCTGGTTTAGTTGTCATGAACTCCTTTGTTTCTTTGTTGTCTAGAAAATTATTCTTATTCTGAATGATAGCCTTGCTTGATAGAGTATTTTTGGCTGCAGATTTTTCGCATTCAGCACTTCGAATATATCATGTCACTCCTTTTTTGCTTGGTAAGTTTCTGCTGAAAAAGCCCCCTAGAGCCTTATGGGGTTTTCCTTGTAAGTTATTTTGTGTTGCTACTTTTAAAGCTTTTTATCACTATATTTTGCTAATTTAATTACAATGTCTTTGTGTGGATATACTTTTGTTGATTTGGGGGGGGGGGTCCTCCATGTCTCCCAGATCTGGATGTTTCCTTCTGTAGATCAGGGAAGTTTTCAGCTATTATTTCTTCAAATAATTTTTTCCTTTTCTTATTCTGGGACTCTTATGATATGAATGTTATTACATTTAATGGAGTCAGTGAGTTCCCTCTATTGTCATTCTGCCTAATTCTTTTTTCTCTTTTGTTCAGCTTGATTACTTCCCATTACTGTCTTCTAGCTTATGCATTTGTTCATCTTCTTCCGTCTGCTGCTCAATCTATCAAGCAGATTACTCATTTTGTTTATTAAGCCTTTTATCTCTGTTATTCCTCATGTGTGTTAGTGGTCTGATACATTCCACTCTTTTCTCGAATCCAGTATGTTTATGAACAGTACTTTAAATTCTCTATCAGGCATGTTACTCATATCTTTGCTTAGATCTCTGCCTGTGGCCTCATCTTTTTCTTTCACGGGGACAAGTTCCTCTGTCTTCTCATTTCTTCTAAGACTCTGTACCCATTTTTGTGTGTCAATAAAGTCAACTATGTCTCCTGTTCTTGAAGGCAATGACCTCATGAAGAAGAGGTCCTGTAGTGCCCTGCCATGTGGTATCCTGTTCCCCAGGGGCTGGCGCTTCTGGGAGTGTCTCCAATGTGTGCCTTGTGTGCTCAGCTGTGTCCTGGCTGCTTTATCTTTCAGGCCAGTCATGTGCAGGGTCTCCCCTTACCTGTTGTGGGCATTGTTTGGTTCTTGGCCTGAACGTGGCGTGTTTTAACTAGGTGTGCTCTGGTATGTTTGTAAAATGAGATCTGTCACCACTACTGTTGGGACTGAGGCTCTGCAAAATCCCCATACTGGTAGACACTGTGAGCAGGGATTTGGGCAAGTCTTCTGGTGAAGGAGGCCAGCTGTCCTGGGACTGAAGGAAGCATGACTGGGAAGGGTGGTTCCACCGGAGCACTTGGTGGTAGGGCTGGGTGTAAGCAACTTAAGTAGGGAGAGTGGGGGCTGCGTTGGTTTCTACCAGTGGCCCTGTGCTAATGCTGAGGGGTGGCAGAGGGAAATGGCCATTCTTGTGTACCAGAAGATTCTCTCCACGAATTCTCTATGGCATGTGCTCCAAGATGAGCAGATAACGTCCCTACTGTGTGCCGCAGGTGCTCTTCAGATTAGTTTCCAAGCTTACATGCATGGGTTGTGTGCCTGCATTGTGTCTAGGAGCTGCACAGTGCTCTTGGGGTTCTGTATCAGCCAAGTGCACTGGCCTTTGAAACTCCAGGCTCTAAGTCCTGGCTGTGGAGATTCACTTTTCTGTGCGCTCCCCCGTGTGTCCTGTCTCTAGCCTTTCTCCGCAACTGCAGCTCCCTCCCCCCTGGATGGGCCACAATCCATTTCCCTCCCAAACTACATCCCCCTACTTCCTACCTTCAGTGTGGCCTCTTCTCTGCCTTTAGTTGTGGAGTTTGTTCTGCCAGCCTTCAGGGCAGTTTCTGGGGTTTTTAGGATGATTTGATAGTTATCGCTTGTGTTCATGGGATGAGGCGAGCCCCCAGGGCCGTCCTACTCCATGCCACTGCCGACCTCCAGGCTGTAATCCAGAGTTTGATGAAACACCTTATTTCATGAATGTACTGTAATGATTTTTTGCAAAGGCAGTAATAGGTGGACATGCTGTGAAAGTTATCCATCTTTTTTTAAAAAATAAGATTTTTTTTTAACACTTAGTAAAATGTTCAGGGTATTAGCATTACAGAGGTACCAAAACATTATAGAAGAGTGTTTATCATAATGACGTTTATTCAACAAACATTTGTAGGTCTACTACATGCTAAATGTAGGAAATAGGGATAAAGCGCCACTGTACACAGCATGGGACATAGACCCATGGATGGCAAGTGCATTTTAGAAATACACTCAATATTTGTGGAGCCCAGAGGAAGGGCCACTGGAATGAGGACAGCAGATGAGTGAGTTGTTGAATGTTCCTTTACCACCTAATCATCTAAAATGAGTTGGCCAAAGGAAGGCATTCCTGGCAGGAGCAAAGGCAGAGAAAACAGAAAAAAATAGTGTATTGTGAATATGTGTGCATGAGTCTGTGTAAGGTAGAGCAAGTCAGCGGTCCTGACACAGAACATGAAAAGCAAACTAAGGGGCTGTGTAGCATGGGCCAGATCAAAGGGGGGTTTTGTGTCAGGCTGGATTCCGAGCATGAACCTGGAGGCTACCGGGAGCTTCAATTGTTTTAAGCAGGGGACTGGAACTGTTGGCTTTTGTTAATACTCTGGTAGTACAATGGGAGGGAGTGGGGACTGGGATGGGGAAACTAGTTAGCTACTTTTTGTATTGTTTCAGAAGAGATTTGCAAGTCTGAACTGGGGGGTGGGGGGATGACATCATAACAACAGGACTGTGTGGGTTTGATTACATGTGTGGGGTGGGAGATCTTACCCCCAAATGAGGTAGATCTCTTCAGGAATATGCTACGTTTGGACCTGCTGTATTGAGTAGGTATCTGGGTGGAAATGCATCATAGAAAAATTCAGAGGTCTGGGCTAGAGATATCAGTGCATGGAAGCTTTAGTAGATAGGTAATAGCTGAGACCATGACAATGGCTAAGATCAGCCAAGATGAATGTGGAGATAAATGGGACAGGACAGCATTTAAAAAGTTTTAAGTGTGTGAAGAAGAGCCCAAGAGAGAAGGGACCCATCATATTACAAAATAGATAAAAAAGGAATAGTTTCAAGGAGTGAATTATTAGCAGTGGCAAAAGAAGAGAGTTCTTCTGGTAAGATAAGAATTAAACCCACTTGGCAATCAAGAGGCCACCATGTATGAAGGAGGAGAACCAGACAGGGATGAACACAGTGAGGCAGGAAATGTTCACAGCCGGAGAACTCTGGGTATGAATGGGAGAAAGGGAGAGAAGAATTGGTGTTACCGAGTGATTTAGTTTTTTTTAAAAGGATGAGAGAAATAGGAACATATTTGTTCCTGAAGAGGAAGGAATAGAAAGAAAGAAGTTGAAGATGAATTATTTTTACCCCAAGCTCAGAAATCTGGTAGAAATCTTCAGGCTACTCAGAAAAACCTCATCAGAATTAAACTTGTACCCAATTAATTCATCAGGATTGCTCACAAGCACAAGAGCTAATCCATCCTAAGTTAAAACCATGTCTTTCCCAAGTTTAAGTCAAAGAAGTAAACAGCTCAGTAACCAGTTACAGAATAAAACAAGCAAAAAAAATAAAGTTGGTCAGGATAACTTTTTAAATTGAAATTTTGCTGTCAACCAAAGAATGATGCTTCTTTTTTCTGGGATGAATATAAATCATTGTAAACCAAAATTGTAATTTTCTGGAGGGACTATGCTATACACTGGTAGAAAGTCAATTGGCAGCTTCTACTGCTCACCAAGAGAGTGCCCTGAAAGGTGGTAAAAACCTGCCTGTCCCCTCTGAATACTAATTAGGTCACCCAGAGTCTTTTGTATCAATCAGGTGAAGGCTCAGTTGCCCGTGTGATAGTATACAGGTAAAAACCTGGATTATCAAGGACCTGCTTTGATGTTAGTTTAAAAATTTTTTGGTTAAGTTGGTAATTTGATTCTAAAATTCCTTCCAAGAACATATTTCTCTTTGCTGGAATAACCTAAACAAGTATTTCATAGTCAGTTTTACTAGCACAAAGAACTGTGAACCCAATAAAGGTGGAGTTGTCTCTGGGGAACAGGTAACAAGTCGCAAAACCTCAAATAGAACAGTAATTTAAAACAAGGCGGGAAGAACCCGAATACATGAGAGGTGACCGGTTTTACTTGGCTGCTCTTTTTAGAACTACTAAACAAAATGTAAATCTTAAAACATTCAAAACAAACGAATTCAAAAATGTCTTTGAGGGCTTGAACCCTTGGGCCAGTGTCAGTGGAAGGGGTGTTCGTAGCACGCTAATAAAATCAAGAACTTTCTTATCTAGTAATTCCCTTCCCTCCATTCATGATGTCGACACAAACGGAGCGCTGGTAAAGGACATCAAGGCAAGACACAAGGTGCTGCGTATCGGCCTGTACTTGTCCGCATGTGCTTGGACGCTGTGACGAGGCGGAGCTTCTCCTCTTGCCGGCTGGCCTGGGTCAGGGGTCTTCCACGGCCTGATCCCTTTGAGGCTCATTGTTGCGGCCTCCCGCTGACCTCCTGGTCCCTTCCCTTCACTGAACATGCTGGTGCCCGCCACAGCTTTCTTCTGCAACTTCAACCTCTGCCATCTTCCTGGATGATTTTAATGTCCACCGCCCAACCCATCTGCCCTTTCAGGTTTCCTGATCTTGTCTCATGGTCTTCTTCACTTAGCCACTGCAAGGTCGACCTTGCAAGTGCTCCGTGATCGTGCTCCTCTCCGCTCATGATCCATGCGTCCTGGTCTGAGACTAGGGTCTCCTGTCCTTCCGGACCTGCCTGTTGCAGCGACTCCCGAGGGACAGAGCTGCTGTCACACTGTCCATCGGCTCCCAGCTACCTTCCCCGTGCTCTGCGTAGCCCTCATGTCCCTACCTATCCAGCTTAGACACGTAGGACCATTATTTCAGCAGTTATTCAATTAGTATCCCTTTGTTTTATCAAACTCACCTGGCAAAACGCCAAGTATCTCCATCTTCTGCGTCTGGACCCAGGGGCGGGGTGCTCTCTGAGAGGAACCCCACAATCCCAGTCGGCCAGCTCTCCCTGCACGTTCTCAGCCACCATGTAGTTGGGGCCTCCACACGGTTCTGTAGTCCTGCTAGGTCTCTTTGTTCTCCACTCTTTTAAAACCTCCTTTTTCAAAAGCCCAATCCCCTCTGGGCCGTGGCTTCACAGGAAGCCCAGGCCTTCATGTGCGCCTGCCAGCCTCTCCGCCGGGGCCCTGGACGCCACCGTCTGCCTCCCTCTTTACCCAACACCATCCCCGACTCCTTCTCTCTCAGCTTCAGCTTCTCCCTCTTTCCCGAGTCCTTTTTAGAAATAAAGCAGTAGCTAAAGCGGGGGTGGAAGACGTGCTGCTCCCTCATTTCTTGCCTCCTTTTCACACCCCAAATTCAGAGTTTTGTTGGGTAGCTGCCTTCCGCCCCGTGCTGCTCCAGTGCTGGGGGCGGGGGGTGCTGGTAGGCCACTGGTTGCTGTCCGGGTGACACCCAGTGGGGGCTCGGAATCCCTTGCCCTGGTCTCAGCAGCCTTCTGCACCGCGCACACCTCACTCCCTTCCCTCCTCTTCCCTTTCTCCTCCCGGTTTCCCTCGCATCTCTTCAGCTACCACTCCTCGGCCTTCTCTGCGGCTCAGCTTCTGCCACTTGACTTTTTAGAGTTCCTCTGGGTTTGCCCTCACTCCTCTTTTCCCTGGAACTCTCCAGCAGAGATTGGCACATTTTGTCTTTAAAGGGCCATAAAGTAAATTATTTCAGGCTCTGCAGGCCTTAAGGTCTGTTGCAACTTCTCAGCTCTGCCACTGTAGCAGGAAAGCAGCCACGGGCAATAATTAGACTAATGTGTGTGGCTTGTTCCAATCAGACTGTATTTACAAAAACAGATGGGCCTGTGGTTTGCCAAGGCCACAGTCTGTCTCTGCACAGCAGAGCCCTTTCCTGTGTCTCTGATGACCAGCAAATTCATACCTGGAGCCCCTCCTGTCCCCAAGTCTGTACCTCCAACTACCAGTGTCTCTGTGGCAGTTCAGATCTTAAGCTAGGACCTTACCCTTTCCCATCAAATCTGTTCTCCCTCCAGTGTCCTTACCAAGAGGCACTGCCATTCAGACGGCTGCACAAGGCAGAAAATGGAGGGGTCGTCCTGGATGCCTCCCTCTTGTTTTCTAATTCTTTGAATTGGTGGAACACTTAAAAGAGGGTAAGTCTAGAAATGGCCAGTATTTGAAGCACACAAATTTAACATTTCTAGTAGAGCTAAACTTTATTTCCATGTTTATTACATGTTTATCTTTGATGTTGGATACATATTAGAATTAACATACAACTTGGGAGAAAAGCTGGACATTCTCCACTGAATGGGTTAAAAAGGAATGTAAAACTACAAAATACTTATTTAAGTGTTGAATTTCTAAATTATGGCAAACAGAACAAGAATTACCTTGCCATGTTTCTCTTTCTAGTTTTCCAAGATGAATTTCATTAGAAAATATTTTCATAACAATTTATTTCAAGAAAGAAAATAAGGGATAATCATTAAAACCATTTGACTTTAATTATAGAGTACAAATAAAGAGTCTTAACACAGAACTCCTATCTTCTATTTAAAATACAAATACTTCATGATATTATGAATGGAGAAGGATTAACTGGTATCAACTGCAAATCTCTAATGACTTAAGCAAACCCATACATGCCATTTGCTTTTATTTGGAAGAGTTAGGCTGATTTAAAGGTGAGAGCAGAATTCTATTTGATAACTATGTCAACTGTTTGCTACTGAGAATGGGGATGGCCAAATACTAAGTGCTTAGTCATAGAAATTCAGATTAATCAGTTCCAAGTGGCTGAGAGAATTAATCATTCCACCCCCTCTCCACTCTATGGCCACGTACAAACGTACAGATTTTAGCATTCACTGAAAGGTTTAAAATAAAACTCCTCTAGCTACTCTGAAACTGCTGAAATTCACAGTACACAAAGAATATTGTCTGTAGCGTGATTCCAATGTTTTAAACAAAATAAAAATTATGGGTGGTTATCAAAGTTGTTATTTGGTAATAAATTCGGTTTTAATTCTCTATAAGCCCCTTAGCACATTTTGTGAAGAAAGCTGTTTTTAATACTACTAATTTTTACTTAGATACGTTTAAAAGAATCAGCTTAGAATTATTTTCCAACAGGAATTACAGGATGAAAACTCATAATAAAAATGAATAATGCTTATTGGTCTCATTAAAGAAGTGTTTAGAATTATCTGCAAAAACCATGTTCTTTTTAATGATGTTTATAAGACATTCTACTGCTAAGTACCTTTCTCATGTAACTGTTTAGGACAGATGATTTATGGCTTTTCAATTTTTAAAATTTCACATTTAATGTCATGTTGTTAAAGCTTTCAAAATCAGTCTTCCAAGATCAGATTCTTAAATAAGAAAGGAAAAAAAGAGAGACAAACATAGCTTCCTCCCTTCCCTGGAAATCAACATTTCTCTTAAACTTCAAGGCACACTCCTTTTCTTAGACCCCGGGGGTCAACAGACTTTTACTACAAAGGGCCAGATAATAAACATTTCAGGCTTTGTGGGTCATATGGTCACTACGTAACTACTCGATTTCTGCACTGTCCTGAGAAAGCAGTCATAGACAATAAGTATGTACAAAAAGGTGCGCAGTCTGAACTTGGCCTGTGGGCCATAGTTGGCCAACTCCTGCCTTAGAATAGACCGTAAATAGAAAAGAAGCATTAAAACAAAACTGGTCTCTACTCAGATGTGATGACTGACTCAGTATCTGCCATTTCATCACTCTAGAACATTTTGATGCTGAACACTTTGAATGAGGCCAACCTACTATTCTTGGTTAAGATTCTTCTATTCAGACTCATGTCATCATGCTTTTAATTTATCCTCATTTAAGAACTTGCTTGGGTATTATATATTGAGGGATTCAGTTTAAAATTAATAAATGATGTCCATACAATTTAATATCCAATTTAATTTTTTAAAAACTTAATGAAAAATAGAACAGAATCAAAATATTTAAAATAAGTACACTCACTACCCATTCCAGTAATTCATTTAAGTCATATCAACTCTAGAATAGGAAAAATAAATTCAGAAGTGTAATTACTTTAAAATACACTACTTCCACTTTTGTTAATATTTTACATTTATGTATATATTCTATAGTGGAAGCAGAAATTCTCTCTAAAAACATCTCCTTAAAATCTTGAGGTGCATGTTAGAGCCACAGGCAATATCTGACATATAAAATTGCAGTACAGGCCTTCAGATTTGGCATTTCACCGGTACAATACAATGACCAACGTATATAATCACTGTACAGTGCCTCGACATTCCAGTAAGAACCATTATTTTCTTTAATGTAGAATGATTAATACATATTCTACAAGGGGCAGTGAGGTTAGTAATTCTATAGGGTATGTCCCGACATAATTTTCAAATTGTACAATAACACAAACAACTCTGTTAAGGCCATGTTTTATTTGCTGATTAATGGACAAAAGGCAATGTAATTTATTTTCAAGTATTTTCTTGAAAGTCTGTGCTCATAAAAATCATGAAAAGTTGGAAAGACTGTTAAATCACTGAAACTTTAAATATATCTTACACAATCTTGTTTGTACAAAAATACAAGTTAAATATAAACATAAAGCAATCAATGATAATTTTATGCAAATCTGTTTTATGTGATCTTCAGTTATATATAAAAGTTTCTGGGTTCTGTTATTTGTGAAAAGATCAATACCAGATTGAATTACTACCTATTGGCAAAGGGCCCTAAAAAGCTTACTTTAGCATTAATCTTTTACATGGTTAAGTACATTTCCTAATTTGAGATCACCTAAACACTGGAAAAAAAAAAAAAGTGAAAGGGCAGTATGTCCATAAACCAACAAATAATTTGGCTGTAATGTATCATAAAACACAAAGAACCCCCCCAACGTCTGTACAATAAACATTATTACATACTCACACGCAGGTGTGTACGTGCGTGCAGGCACATACACACACAACACACACGCAGGCGAGCACACACACCCAGTCATAAAGCCTAATGAGGTGCTACTTCCAGTTCGATATTCAGCTTTGCATTTTTTCTTATTTCATCAAACGAATAGCTTTTTGTCACCTTCCCATTCTTGAAGACGGTATGGAGAAGATCCTGTACAAACATAACAATACTAAAATGTAACGACTATATTAGACTATCAAGCAAAATAATTAATGCTTTGATGAATCAGATTGACTAGTCAAATACAGAGATGTTTGACGGCATTCAAATTATGAAATAACTTTATCCACAATGCTGGCTGGTGGAACAGGTAGTGAGCATGGCAATATCTCAAATGGCTATGTAAAAATATTTAGCTTTAAAAGAAGCAATCATCTAAATATTCTTAGAAGTTTTCCTTGAAGGAAGAAAAAAAAAATCGCTGGCTGATCCATCTCTACTTTTTCAGGTGGAGGATGCTTGCTGCTCGGCTGCCCAGAAGAATTGTGGCTGTCGCTGATAATCCTGACTGACCAGGAGCAAGGAAAGCCTGCCAGACCTTCCCTGGTTCCTAGACAATGGACTTAATGCTGATTAAACTTGCCAAATTTCCTAGTCACTGAATTTTGGACTTAAAAAAAAAAAAAAACCCTATAAAAACAAGAAACCAAACCAGAAACAAAAATAAGTATTGATTTCTTGATGAATGCATAGTGACTGATTTAAAAACTGTGTATATTCCAAAAGTTACTGATTCATGTAATACATTTGATCTATGCAAGGGTAACAACGATTGAGAATTAAAACTAAATCCCCTTTTGGGTCTGGTAAAGCCACTTGGTCTCCCTAAACTAAGGTCTGCCTGCCTTTAGTTTCTCTTTAAAAACACCCCAAGACATAATCTGTCATGTCTAAGTTTTCCATCAAGATTAAGGTTCATGACCTTTTCTTTCAAAAAGTTAAGTATCAAGAGTAGTGATTCCTACTCTTAAATCAAAATGCCATTTAGGATTACAACTGATTACTGCCTCAAACATTCCAGAGTATTATTTACATAAATCAGTGCCTTTTAAAAATCATAGTTAGGACCCTGTCTAAAGTGACTCTAGTCCATCTGGATACACTAATTCAGCCAACTTTTGGTAGCTACAAGAGTTAAGTGAAGGCTACTAAAAGCCCCGAACAACAGGCTAGCTCTTTAGAGTTAGAGACCAAATATTTTTCATTAAAGACAGAAAAAAATTGATTTTGGCTCAAAATCTTAAAAGAGTATCAGAGTAATATACTCTAAGCAGAATATCTGTATGGAATAAAGAATCCATAGTGATAAATTAATGTTTGGTATAAACTTTTTTCTGAGAATATGAATGTTTATGAGTAGTTTCTCTTTCCCTCTAAAAGGGAGTTTTCTCAATCTAGTGGCTTAAATAAATTTGTAACTTCTGAGTTCATTAATGTAAGTGTATTTTTGCATGTTGAAGACCATGAGATCATATGGACCATTTTAGCACACTCTAGGTTTTTCTAGTCTGGCCAATTTGAATCAGAAAACTGGGTTAAGTCACCAATTATTATTATGCAGTCAGAATCCAGTCATGACCTTTCACATCTTCGCACTAGATAACGTAATTTTTTTTTAAGCCCAGAATTGCTGTGAGAATCACATGCAACTAAAGAAAACTCATCTCAACTGGATTTTGTTAAGTTTTAACAAAATTACCGGAGTTTTACTATAACATAACTAGCATCCTTTAGATATTCTTAGCTATTCCTCTTCAGAAATAATTTGCTGCTAAATTGGCAGTAAGAGATCAAATACACAAAAGCTTGTTGAAGCTCATCAGTCACTATCCTGCTGGTCACTCTGTGGAAGAACTTTGTTTTTTGAATGTTAGAAAGTTTTTCACCCACTGTATGTACAATCTCATTTATGATGTAGATTGCTTTTCATCTTATTTTGGTAGGCTCAGTCAGCATCTGTACACATTTTACAACAAAATTTGTTCCATTACTTTGTCATTCAAGAAAAGAATTATTCTGAAAATAATTTAAGAATATAACATAAGAGCCCTTTTCTTAATTTGGAAAGCTAACCTACTGGTAAAAAAAAAAAAAAATTATCAGCATAGATAACATACATGACCATATTCCTCAAGGTCTCCTTTTCCTTCTTCAAGTGTAACAAAATTCCCTGCTGGTGTCCTATGTAAAGATAATCGACCCTTTTTGGATCTTTTGTTGGGATCAGCAACTGGGTCCTTGAAGACATTAATCTGGAAGAAAGAAATTGAAGACTCATGTTCACTCACTCTTTTAAATGTTCACTCAATTCCTGTTAAAGAAAAAAGTTTATACATAATTTATACATAAACTTAAGGTACTTCATCGGTATAACTAAATGAATCCACATCTGGCTTTTAAGAAGCATAGTTCTAGTCTGTGTTGGAGGACAGAGTCCTCTGTTAGGAAAAAAGGTATGAACAAAATCCAAGTCTTGAGTATCCTGTCTTACCACGATAGACACCTAATACTCTAGTTGTAGGAAGTCTTTGAAGTTAACATATGTGACTCTTAAATATTTTGAAGTGCCTTTAACTGAGTCAAGTATAGCACATTCATGCTATTAAAAAATCTGCATCAACTGTATTATATAATCTGTGGCGAGAGAACTAGGATTTTTGCTAAAGTAAAGACTTCCATTTCATTACTTTATAACTTTGTTACTTTTTACTCTATTCCTTGTTACTGTGAAAAAACAAAGAAGACCTAGAGAACCTAAAGAGAACAGAAGGTTTGTTTAAAGATCAGAAAGGTTAGGGAGCCAATGTAATGGAAGCAAGAAGTATGATTGAATCCCAGAACCTTCCAAAGACAGAAATGAAGTAAAAGCAGGGAACCAACGTAGGGGTTCTGAGGAGTTCTTAGTATCCCACATCACCCCTCTGGATCCGGAGCTTCTCAAGAGTCTAAGAAGAGCCAGGGGGTTTGCTGTGCAGCCGCCTAAAATGGGCAGCATGGGGTCCCATTTTCAGGCTATCAGAACAGGATTACTGGTATCACAGCTCCAGCGTCATGCTCTGCCTCTCTCAGACACTGCCAGTGCTTTCATATTTGCTTATCTTTAATATGTGATGGCCATGTTAACTGACATTCCTACTCAAAATGGTCAGCTTTTTGACTGAAAGGTGTAATACTGAAGCAGTGGGAAATGAATGGCCCGCATCATTTCTCAAATATTTTTTCTCCTTTCTCCAAGTCATGTTATTTTATACCTAATGTTTCTTTTCTTTCCTTGTTTTGAGTCAAGGCCAGTGGTACCTGACAACACATTATGAATTTAGGACTTTATCCTTTGATTACTGCACTGAGTAACTGCATCCTACTAGACACATAAGCAAAGTACTACCACAGCAGTACAAGTTGAAAGACTTACCCCAAGTCCATTGGTTACAACATAACTACACTTGAAGGAACAATTCAAGAGATCTCTTGTTAACTTCTGTAGCAAAGCTCCACCAGAACCAAAGGCAATATTTTCAATACTCCATTTTTTTTGCTTCATGCCTTCTACAATCTAGAAGATCAAAAAATAGAAACTTAGTAACCTGAAAGAGGATTTTCCTGGGGCCATACTGATGAATAAAACATCCTAGAGCCATTTCATAACTCCATACAGGGTGAGGGAAGAGTAAGGCTTACAGAGTTATATTCCACATTTTCTCTTTTAAAAGACCTACCTGCCTCAAAAAGGTATAGGTGTGAAGGGATAGGATTTCATTCAGAGCTCCTGAATTGGTGGTGTCACTGTGACTGTGGTTGGTTAGGGATGGGCGAATGAAAGAAATGAGGGAATAAGGAACTGGTGATAAAACATTTAAAGTTTTGTGTCCAATACTAAAGAGATTTCTGCCTCTTTTCCTAAGTAGGTAGATTTGTTCCCGTACAGAAACCTAGAGCAGGGTTACACCATCACCTTCATGAGACGTGACAGCAAAGTTTAAGAGGAAGGCTCACAGTCGATGACAGAAGTCAGTTGTCTGAAATTAAACATTTTCTCATTTTGTCAAAGTTAACGCATCCAGTATATGTAAAAGGAAAACTGCTATAACCTTTTCATGGTTCTGAAAACTTATTTTAATCCCCCTCCAAGAGGAAGAAAGCAGGTATTATTACCCTTTAGGTGATGTAACACACAAATGCATCTGCAGTAACTGTTCACCAAGGCCAACGAGGATCTGCCTCAATATTTAACTTGTTTGCAAAGTTAAAAAAAAGAAAGTCAAGTTTAAAGCTGATTCTCAACTTAAAAAAAAAATGCATGTACATCCTCAAAATTAAAAAAAAACAAAACAAAAATGAAAGCTGAAGAGTTTCAGTTTTTAAAGGGAAGCTCAAACCCCCAATTGAAGCACCTGCTGTCAAGAGCAGACTGGCGGGTGTGAGCACTGGGAAGAATGCTGCACTAATGGGTTCTCTGAAAATGGCATGGGCCCTGCCTGCCCATGATTCTGCATCCAAAAGAGGGGAGAAATGTGTGTGAGGGCACTTGCTAAGCTGGCTAAAATGTAGGCATGGGTAACAGTTCTTTACTGATACCAAGGTAGGAAACCTTTAATTTAGCTGAACGAGGGAGACGATGGCAATTAAAAATGCCAGCTGAGATCTCTAGACCCAGGTCGTCCTCCTCATTGCTGACTTACTCTCACCTCACCACACTCTTGCAAATTTGGTAACTTGGTTTATACAAGTGGATACTATCTGATATTGACAGACATTAAATTATCAGTGGTTTACCACAGTAGACGGTCTACATTATGTTATCAGTGGTGGCCTTAATTTTTGTGGAGTATTTTATGTATTAAAATGAAATTATAGTGCTTTAAAAGTTTATCTGGGGAAAAAGCAGAGGCACAGGCTTTAAGATTCTACAACACTGTTTGGCTACATCTAACAAGTGATGACAGTCAACACTTAAGTTAGAAGACGGGACAAACCATTCTACGGTTTTCAAGAAAGCACATATTAACACCATCCGGGTTCCTTAATTCCATTCCAATAAAACACACCTATTTAAGCAGTGTCAAGACTTTTTGTTTTACATACAAGGAGGTGATCCTTGACTGGCACTTTCTTGTTTCCCAGTGACATTTCTTTAGACTCCACATCAGGGGTGCCCAGAGAGTAGTATGTGTGGTTTGGCTGATATGTCTAGACTTGTATTTTCTCTTTCTTTTTCCAGCTTACTTTATTCTAGGAATGTAGTGTGTAACACACAGAACAGACAAATATGTGTTGATCGACTGTTTGTTATTGGTAAGGCTTTCGGCCAATAGCAGACTCTTAGGAGTTAAGTTTTGGGGGAGTGAGGAATTATATATGACTTCTGAGTGCTGGGTGGAGGAGGTGTCGGCGCCCCCAACCCCTGCAATATTTAAGGGTCAACTGTGTTTATAAATTTTAAGCAATTAACAGAAAATATATTTACTATCATAAACATTTATAAGAATCATAACTATTTAAATTATTAATGTGCTATTTATAAACTGATAAGGAGCTTAAGTTAAGGAAGGATTGCTTTATTGAACTTTAATAGAAAACACATACCTCTTGTAAGGTATTAATATCTACTCCATCCCCTTGAATAATTCTAAGATAAGGTGGCAGCAACTTGTAGCCCTTTGAGTTCTCAGTAATAGGGAACTTCTTACCCAAAATATCCAAAACCTGTAGGGGAAAATAAACACTCAACACAAAATAACTAAAATTGGGGGGGAAAAAATGTAAAAGTTTTCCACAGTTAAAAAAACGACTTTGCTTTGCTAGACAATCTGGAGAATATAAAAATTCAACAAATTACTAAGAAAGCTCTATAACACTATGTACAAGCCTTCTAAAACTTAGTCTCAATTCTTTGATTATATTAGAAATAGGCATGTTATTTTTCTGTCAATTTATACCATAAAGTCACTTAAAATACAAGTTTTGTCCTTCCTATCTTTCAAATTATACAGATTCAAGAATAAAACCTTTAACGTTAGGAAATTAAAACAGTAAATATAAGTGAGCAGAGTGGCACAGCAGAAGTATGCTGGCCCCTTAGCCCAGAGGTGAATGAATGAAAAACAGTAAATATCCTATTTCCAGTAGGTATATAAAAACGTTATTTGACAAACCTATAATTATGATTTGGATCTGTCTATGCCCAACAGTTTGTTTTGCTTATTTTTCTTAGGTTTGAGAGAATGAGAGCATGAGTGGGAGGGACAGAGGGAGAGGGAGAGAGTATCTCAAGCAGACTCTGCTGAGTGTGGAGCCTGATGCAGCCTGATCCCACGACCCTGAGGTCATGACCTGAGTTGAAATCAACAAGAGTCAGAGGCTTAACCAACTGTGCCACCCACGCTTATTTGTTTGGCTTATTTTGTCTGATAGTACCCAAATAGGAGTCCATCTGAATTACAAACCTCAAAGAAATTATGATTTGCAAAGCTGGAAATGAAGCAAGGTTCTCTTAAGTTCTCATTTTATTTTTTAAAGATTTTATTTATTCATGAGAGACAGAGAGAGGCAGAGACATAGCTAGAGAGAGAAGCAGGCTCCATGCAGGGAGCCCGATGTGAGACTCGATCCCAGGACTCCTGGATCATGCCCTGAGCTGAAGGCAGGCACTAAACCGCTGAGCTACCCGGGCTGCCCTGAAGTTCTCATTTACAGGTGATACCCATTTTTTTTAAAAGACAAATGGCATATTATGCAAATCATCCCACTCATTCATTGACTACTAAGATTTAGAACAGCTGAACTTCCTGAACAGTGTTCTAAAATTTCTCAGAAAGCTTGGTCAGAGATACAAAAAGACCTACCAGACATAGATTTCTCTCCAATCACTCCCTTTTCCTAAATAAAGATTTTACCAATGAGAAAATTCCATACTGATGACTTGGTTTATTCTTAACTAGACCAACTGATATTCTTAACTAGATCAATACATTTTTATCAGGTAACAGGGAAAACGTGAAACCTGTTAAGTTTGCTAAAATCAAGTTTGTTAATATTTCAGGCTAAGATCTTCAAAATGGCCTATTAATGAATATGATAGGAAAGACTTCTTGGTTCTATATCCCCTTTTCAAGGGTTAAGTAATTTACCATCTAATCATTAGCTGGGAAAGTGTGGTAAAGTGGAAAGGCAATAGAAAGATATATGCTAAATACTTGGCATATTTTACGTGTTGTGTGACCTTCAAGTTATTTGAACCTCTCAAATAACTGTTGTTTTGTCTATAAAAAAGAGCTAGTAATATTTATCATAAGGTCTTCAAAGAGATTAAATGACATAGCTTTAAGTAAAGCACCTAACACAGTATTTTTCCAGTAGTAGGCATCAAATAACCTGCTCTCACTAATGCTTTTTGAAGAAGGCAAACCAAGTACTGAACATTAAAAAGAAAATTTAAAAAGGGCAACAATGCTGCAGTGAGGATCAACAGTATCTCCAAAGAGTTACTACCTGCAAAGTATTTTCGAATTCTTTTTATTCTTTTACTCACCTTGCACATATTTCTTCTTCAAAGATATAGCGAAGACTTGTGGTAAAGAAAAACAAACCACAAACTTGGTAACCAAATCACAGGATTAATATTATTAACTAATTTTCAAGGTAAGTAGAAAGTATCTGTTCAACATTAATACTTATTTGACAATATGTAAATAACACAGAACTGTGGGTATCCTGTTATTAATGTGTGGCCTTGGACGAACTTATTACTCTCTCTAGGCTGCAATTCTAAAACTAAAAGACTGGTCCAGATAGTTCTGAAATGGCATGTGCACAAATAAATTAAAATAGTATTGATATAGCTCATCTACAGGCATTTTCATAATCAAGTTATGTATTAAAATTTACCTTTAATACAGTGTCCAGAGGATTTCCAGAATCAGGTCTGATTATTAGTGGTGCCTCTGTAGTTCTTGACAATATTAAATGTCTTAGATCTTCTCCCCATATTTTTTCACACGCGTTGTAAATGTCATAGCTATCGCTGACCACAGATACAGGCACTGATGAAAACTGTGTTACTATATGTTCAAAAGCGTCTTTTTCACGGTCTTTCCCCCAGGCTGTTATGGTACTAGGAAACAAAGTGAAAACAGAGATTTACTTAGGCAGACACATTATCTATCTATTCCTGAATCATATCTCATGTACTATACTTACACCATCAACACCACAAAGAAGGTGAGTGATTTAGTTTAATGAATACACACTGTAAAGTTCATTGACTATTAGGGCCACGCCACTCCTAGGCTGATGTTTAAGACTGTAAGAAATCTTATTCCTGTCCCATAGTTATTTTAACTCTTAAAGTCATAGCCACCGAACGTTTTTGGTATTCCTGAACCTACTCACTTAAAATCAGTTCACTAGGGATTCCTGGCAGGCTCAGCTGGTAGAGCATGTGACTCCTGATCTCAGGGTTGAGTTCGAGCCCCATGTTGTGTGTAGAATTTACTTAAAAAAAAATCAAGTCAAATCAAATCAGTTAACTGAAAAAAGCACTCTGTAGATTATGCCAAGATGTCAGAAAGAATGACCACATATTCCTATTATTTTGCTAGGCAATGTAAGCACTTGGCTCCCTTCTGTATCTTTTCAAAACCATATACCAATAATAGCAGGGACATATATTTGTCTTTTTTAACTTTAAAAATCTTATCCTTAAAGGCAATTATTTGGGCAATTATTTGTACTGTACCATAAACACATATAGTCAACCAATAACCCTTTACTGGTTATATCTTCAAATGGCCAATAATAGGCAGCCATTTATTTCATTTAGAGTATCCATTACTAATTAATATATGCCCAGGGAATTTAAGAATTTGAATACTTAGTTTGGGCAAAACATAATTAAGATGGGAAGGAAAATATAAGGGTTTCTATTAGGCAAAACTGTTAGAGTGATTTTATCTCAAAACTGAAGAGTCCTACATACTAATTTATGTTTGAAACTGTCATTTCAACATGGGTTTTTTGTTGTTGTTGTTTTACCCTCCAAAGGACTGGAATAAAGTATTTATGCTGTCAGTGATATGCCAGTGCTAAAAGAGCATGTACACTTCAAGGTTATAAAGACTTAGCTACCCAGAGACTACTTTTGTCTGAAATGGAGAGACAGGATGTCTATTCACGTAAATCTCATTTTACAGTGAACACTCTCCTTGATAAATACAGAGGAAATCAACTCCCTACCTCATGCCAGCATCTGCAGGCTAAAGGTGCAATTAAACATGGATGAAGAGAAACCCCTTCTTCACATCACAAACTACTACTGTCCTCTTTATCTCTTTATAAGGATGGAGAGAATTAGCTCAAAGAATACAAACACTGGAGAGCTGTGCAATGAGAATAAACTCTTACAGGTAGGGCTGGTGGGCTATGGCAATATTTTCCCAGTGCTGTTACCAATACTGCCCCCAAACTCTGCTCTTAGTATCACGTAGCACACTTCGTTGCTTATTTTTAGTCTTTCATCTTGCTTTCTCTCTGGCACCTGAACTTTCCTGAAGCTTTCTTTCCCATGACTTCAGTGACCTCTCCCCCATATTTATTTAATTATTTTTCTATTTCTGGTGGTTCCTCTGCAGTCTTCCTCCTTCGATCTAACCACAGGCTCTGACCGGGCAGTGTGCTTTCCTCTATCCACCTCCCTGTGTGAAAAACACTCAAAGCTTTTTAAAAAATCCTCTTGTGGTAAGGGTTTCCAAAATATTTACCTTAGTCCAGGTTTTTCTTCTGGACTCCTGATCCACTAGTTAGGTAGGAAGAGGATTATCTTTATTACGTCATCATCATGGAGACATTTCCTATAGCACCCTCTACATAATCCAGTTGTGACACCTATTCTTCTGATAGGTGTTTGGTATATGGAGCTCATATGTATGTGTTCAGTGAATTCTACTAATACTATTATTCCAATTTCCAAGCATCAAATCAAATTGATAATTTTCCAAAGTTTGAGGGACAGGTTATATAGTAGCATGTTTTTCCTCCTTGATGTTCTATTGACTTATTTTTGCTTTACTTACATAGTTTAACATGGCAGTTTTGCATAAGCTCAAAAAAGTAAGCATTTTCTTACCCACATGATGTACAATTTTAAATTGGGTTCCACATTAAATAATACTCTAATGCTCCTCTTACACTTTTTGGTCAGCCAAACTCTCCCCACATCTTTGGGTTCAGTGGGGTTTTTAAAGATGTGTTATCACTGACTATAAGAAAGTGTGGCATGGCTTTGCACAATCTCAGAATAAGTAAATCAGGAATATGAAAATCATTATAGGAACAGAGCAAATAAGAATTTGAATATGTAAACTGATAGTACATTGGGAAGAAAACAGAAGTCCTGTTAAAACAAAAGATAATAGCATATTTTAAGTCCAGATTCCTATATTCCTTAAGAAAATATAACAATAATGGCAATGCTCTTAATTTTAGAGTTCTCTTGTCTTGGAGTTATTTTTAAATTTTTTTTTTAAAGATTTTATTTATTCATGAAAGACACACAGAGAGAGACAGAGACACAGGCAGAGACAGAAGCAGTCTCCTTGCAGGGAGCCAGATGTAAGACTTGATCCCGGGACTCCGGGATAACGCCCTGAGCCGAAGGCAGGTGCTCAACCACTGAGCCACCCAGGCGTCCCTATTTTGAAGTTATTTTAGATGTTCGGTCATTTATCCATAATGATCTTCTGATGTTAGAGATCTAGAATTTTAGTTCCTCCTTTTGTTTGGTTGGATGGAGGAACTGAGGAAGTGAAAGAAAAGCGACTTGCCCAAGGCCACCTAGAGTGTCAACTGTAAGGTTTACTGGGTCACTCAGATTTCCAAGCTTTCAGTCTAAAACTCCTTCTACTATACTACACTATTATTTAAAAGCTTTTTCTATTTAAGAACATCTGAAATATTCTTATATATTAAGGAGTCAAACTTACAAATGTAGCAAATATTATGAGACTTTAAAATGGATTTCATGCTTTTAACATGAAAACCTTAAGGAAGATACATCCTTATTCTCAGATTTCTAGAATCATACCTGTTACGTTACTACTGTGAAAATAAAACCATCAGTGAAAAGTCTAATATATGGATAGTACTTAAGTTTTTTTTTTTTTTTTTTTTTTTAAGATTTATTTATTTGAGAGAGAGAGCACGACTGGGGGCAGGAGCAGAGAGAGGGACAAGCAGACTCTCTGCTGAGCCCAGAACCTGACACGACTTGATCCCAAGACACCGAGATCATAACCTGAGCCAAAATGAAGAGCCAGCTGCTCAACAGACTGAGCCACCCAGGCACCCCTAGATACTAAAGTTTTTAGAAGATGTGCATACATCTAAGTCCAAAATAGGAATACTATAATTATAGAACCTATATCTATTGATGACATCCCTGTGTTCCCACTTTGAGGAGTCCTGACTGAGAATATTCAACAAAGTCCTACTGATACAGCAATGCCCGGGAATGTTTGCAGAATTTACCCTCTATCAACCCCAATCCAAATCATCAAATTCTAGTAATTTCTTTTTTTCAGATTTTATTTGACAGTGAACACAAGCAGTTGGAGTGGCAGGCAAAGGGAGAGGGAGAAACAGCAGGGAGCCTGATGCAGAACTCAGTCCCAGGACCCTGGGATCATGACCTGAGTCAAAGGCAGACGCTTAACCAGCTGAGCCCCCAGGTGAACCGAGTTCTAGCAATTTCATCTCCCAAGCCACTGCTCATGTTTAGCCACTTTTTTCCATTCACAGCCACTTGGTTCTACACCTTGTCATCTCTCCAAACTGTTGCAACAGCTTCCTATTCAGCCTCCTAACTTCTTTTTCTGTCAATTCATAGGATATCCTGCTATAAAAACAATCTTCCTAAAAAAAATATTTCTCTGACGACAAAGCTGCTTAGGCTCAGAACTTCAATGCTCACTCCCATTTGAAAAATGGAATTAACCTAGCAAGAGGTGCACACAGTTAACATTCAACGTCAAATGAATTTGAGGTCCTTTACTAACCTGTCTTTTGAGTCCACCCTATGTTCCCAACAAAATGTCTATTTTGTTTCAGCCCATATTCCCTAAACACATTCACTCTCCTCCTTTACTCTTGCTCTTTCAGACAATGCTTGATGTGTGGTAGGCATGCAATAAAGATTTACTCAGAGAATGATTGATCTCTCATGTCTAGTATTAAATTTTATCATTCCTTCAAGAAGTGAAGATTTCACATACCGTCTCTACAAAACCTTTCTTGATCCTTCCAGTGAGATAACATCTTTCCTTTCCTTCCCTTGCACCACTAGAGCACTTTAACCTCTTTAAAAGTACTTATCAACAGAGCAGAACGTTGCTAGTATTTTATTTTTATACTGAAAATAGGGTCAAGTTTTTAATCTTTCTGTCCCTTATAGCACCAGTAGATTGCCTCGGATAAAAGCTCAGCTTTATTCTAAAACTACACTACTGGTTTTAGTACCCTGCGATATCCAAGTATGAGTAGAACCTAATAACTTCCCCAAACTGATTACAGTAAATAATTTTTGTTATTAAGAACCAAAGATTAGGTTTAGCATACACTGTAAAAACTCCACTGCTTTACAATTAAGTTAACTCTAGGAGCAGAGCGGCTGCATTCTAGGTTATAACTGCTTTGTAGTTTAACTTGAGATGGTTTAGCAATATCAGATAAGGAAGCATAAAGGGAATCAGGACTCTTCCTTTCGTCAAAGGGCCTTACTTGCTTTTCTACAGTTGAGGGTACTGGGTCCAGGTGACAACTTGGTCATGTAGAAAGGAAAAGAGAAAAAGTGACCAAGTTTTATAGGGATGCTCCTAGATTTAACAAATAAAATGTATCTGCATATGGTAACAGAGCAGTTGAAAAAGTCATTAAAATAAGACTTACATGGCAATATAAGATTTGAAAGAAAGCTCTTAAATTGTTTTTATCTGGATGGTTCAAAGGTCTCTACCTCCCTGATACTAATTCTTATAACTAGTATAATCACTGAATTTGTATTGCTTAAATTCATGAAGATTTACTGTAGTTCCTGGCTTGTAATTAAGCAAAACATCACGGAATTACCAATACAAGAGTAAAAAAAGTCATTTTAGAAAACAAATGTTTCGATAATAGGAGGATGAAAAGAGAAGTGTTACCTGTGTTCTGCTGCTGGAACAGAATAGCCTGGAACAGGATCTTTCGTTCCATAGTATTTTTTAACAAAAGCAATTCCTGCTACTGTATCTGTTCCTTTGAAGTTAACCAAATGAGCAGACGCTCCGATGCCAGCAGTCTGGAAAATCAACCACAAATCAAAATCCAAAAAAAGAAAAAGCCTGTACTTAGAGGTATAAAGCATCTCTCAATCTCTCAAAGGGATTATTGTCTTCAGCTATTTTTAGATATTTAACTATTATTAGAGATAACAGTTCCTATAACAAAGACCCGGTTTTTCCTAAATATTTAAGGGGTCAACTGTTACCTCCTCAAAGAGACTTTTAGTGACTACCCCCTCATTTCCCACTAGCCTCTTTTCCCTTACTCTGCCCTGTGCTTTTCTGTAGCACATTGGCACCTGGTATATTTATAAGACATAACATTATCTGCCCATCTATCCATCTAATGTATAAAGGATACAGACATTTGTTGAAAACTTTATTCCATGTACTCTGAACAGAGGCTAACACATTCTAGGTACTTAAATATATATTTATTGACTGAATGTCTGAATTTCAAAATGTAGCCTACTCAGAAACAAGATCAGTATCAATAATTTCCCTCAAATTTATAATGGCAATCTAACCAACAAACCACTCTCCACTAAATGGAAGTTCATTTCAGTTTCTTACCTCTTGGGAAGAAACTCCTCTGTAGCCAAAATCATGTAACTTGTATTCCAGGCCATCCAAATTACCAGATGTCTCCAGCAAATATTTGGCCAATATTTTCTTTTGCTCTCTAGAATTTGTGGCTACTGTGATTGGATACCAGGACTGAACAAGAATAGTCTGTAGTGACAAAATTAATCACAAATATTAAAACATAAAATACTAAGTTCTTTCTGAGGAAGAGACTGCGTCCTTTGGTAGTAGGTCCTGGACCCCATACTACCAGGAATACCAGCTAGACATTTTGAACTGTATAGCAGGATGCCTTGGCTCAGGTCATGATCCTGGGGTCCAGAGACAGAGTCCTGCATTGGACTTCCTGCAGGGAGCCTGCTTCTGTCTATGTCTCTGCCTCTGTGTCTCTCATGAATAAGTGAAATCTTAAAACAAAACAAAACAAAAAAACAAAAAAGGAAAACTACCTGGAACATTTCTGCATATGCTGTAAAACTGAGTCACGGTCCATTTTATAATTCTTTTTAACAGCAAAAAGGTTTGGTTTTGCTTTTGGGAAGAGATGGTTATGTTTAGTCCAATGTGTTCATTCCTCACCCCATTGTAAATGTGAGTCAATCTTTGCAGAACCCTTCGGCGCTTCTAAACATGATTTGAAATTTGATTTGAGAACTTAAGATTTATTCTAGCATCAATACTGATATTGATAAAGCAATTCAATAATTTTAGTGTTTTTTAAAATTCAGGGTATGGTGAATAACAGTCAAAGAATATTAGTGGTAACTCTAAACATACAGTGGGAAAGGTCATTGGAAGGAATACTACTTAGTGCTATTTAAAATGTTTTAAATCAAGAACTGCCTGAAGAACATCTCTATATTTGTAAGTAACTAGTTTGTTGGATTTGGTAACAGATTTCATTTACAAGGTGGTAAACTTGGGTTGGGGATGGAGAAGATTAAGATAAGCCTCCTCTTACCCTTGCAACAGAAACCCACAAAGGATGCAAAGTTACTATGAAGAAGTCTCTTCTGGATACTTGGTATTTAGAGTAAACAGTTTTTTATGAAACACAGGATCTATCAGAAGCTATAATAGGGATGTGTCAGACCATAAAACCACTGTGGCTTAGATAAAAATAGCTACCAAGGAGAAATTATATAAGATAATATATATTAACAGAATAGAAAGTAAATTTGATAGAAGTTCTATTTCAGGTTCTAAGCAAATAAAAACAAGAACTATGTACTTTTTTCCCTTCAAAAGCTAACAGTCTCATGTTGGATTTTACACTTAATCATTTTGAAATTAAAAATGGTATTTGTTAACAAACTACTGCTCTAAGATGTTTATATACAACATTTATAACTTTCTGGTTTTTAAGTGAAATACACCAAAATAATAATGATTATTAAAATAGAGTTTTTGTTGTTATTGTTTTTAAAGGCTAGATTTTTTGTTCTTACTTTCTGAAGAAGATAAAAACATACATGAAACAAGGTAAGCTGGGAATTAGTCCTCTGTGTCCATATATACCTGCTTTATGGAAGTTCAATTAGACACAAGGGACAGTACTTACTGACTAAACCCTCAACCAGAAAATAAGGGGAAAAAAGGGAAAAAAGTTACCCATAGACGATGATTTTCAAAACAAGGTTTATCTGTTTGGGATCTTTTGGCATTGAACATAAAAGGATAGATGGGTAACTCTTTCTCTTGTGTTTTTATGATACCATCCTCTTAATACCTAGCATTTCCCAGTACAAATACTGTAACAACTATACACAAACTAATAATGTTTTCTTTTACTTTGAGTTCATAGTTAATTCAAAGTTTTAAGACATAGTAGTAAACTATTTAAAGTCTTTATTTTAATTAATTGTACATTTTTTTCTGGACCTATCAGTCTTCTGTAAGTTGATGTCCCATAAAGAGTCTTAAATAAGCAAGCTTTGAATTTTCTGTCAACTTAGAAAATGTATTTCAAACATAATCTTGGACCTCTTCATTCTTCTAAATTTTCCAGTCCTTATAAACAAAATCAATTGTATGATTTTACAATATGACAACAAATTAGTTTAATCAATTAACTATTAAGATAAAGAATTATTTCTAGGCACTGCGTAAACACCTCTCAGATAGTAAGGTGGTATTTCTATAATCACTTTCTAGGGTATTTCCTCTAGTAGAGAAAAATCTAAAGCTGTTGAGAAGCTAAGTAGATTATTAATATCAAAACTATGAGCATGTGAAAACAGGACTGCTTACATAGAGATGAAAGAAAAACAGACTTGCGGTATAAACTCAGAGTCTCTAATGTATCCTCCTCCTTTTTGGGCTCAGACATTAAACGAAATAATCAGCAAGTCTTGAGAGTGTTTAGATGAGAAATATCAGGTGGTAAAGCATAGGCTCTAAACTGATTAGATAATTAAGAAAGCTGTTATTAAAAATCTGAACAAAATTGCTTTATTATAATTAGAACAGAACATCTACAAAATACCTTAAGTTACTAGAAATAAAGCTATGCTATTTTTCTTAGTTTTCTCTATGATCATATACATTTAGGACTGCAACGAGCAAGATGGAAGCCAACGGACTTTTAACAATAATAGTTCTTAACAATTTCACTTAAAGTCTCAGAACATTAGACTTCACTGGAAGGAACCTTAAAGATTATTTAATCCAACTGTCATTTTATAAAGGAGAAAACTGAGGGTTTAGTAAATTATAGGAGATTACACAGGTTTGTTAGTAAAATTTTAAGACTAGAAGGGTTTAGTAAATTATAGGAGATTACACAGGTTTATTAGTAAAATTTTAAGACTAGAATCCCAGTTGAATGCTTTTCATATCTTTAATTGATGTTATATAATTAAAATAAATTCACCTCAATCCAATTTGTAAGCCAGTAACACTCTGGATCTGTGTTTTCCACTGTGAAGAGAACATTTCCTCGGGGAATGACATAGCCCTCAGGAACAGCTTTTATTTCTATTGGAAGGTGCCCATCATATTTCTGGTAACAGACAATAATGAATTTATTAATTCAACAGATGATACGTACTTACCTGTTTTAATAAGGCTCTTTACATCTTACAGAGCTAAACTTACTGTCATAGAAACTGCAATTGTACATGTTACTATACAGCTAGTAATGTAGTCCGAATATCCTTATTCTCTTAAAATAAAATTAGCTAAAATGATTAATAGTTTAGGCATTGATATTAATCTTTAAATTTTATGTTATTAAAGTACTTCTAAGAACATTTCTCACTAGAAGATGATGTCAAACTCATCAAAAGTTTTTCCCATTCTTTCAAAAAAAGTTTATTCCAACATATTCCAAAAATATTCCAAGAACACCATCTTTCTTCTAAGTAGCCATTTCCATAAAAGAAAAGCTAAAGGCTAGAAGACAAAATAAGGGACTGCTATTAGCAACATAAAATAATGACACAAACAAAAAAGAAATGAGAGAGCGCCTGGGTGGCTTGGTCAGTTAAACATCTGCCTTCCTCTCAGGTCATGATCTCAGGGTCCTGGGATCAAGCCCCACATCTTCAGGCTCCCTGCTCAGGGGGAGCCTGCTTCTCCCTCTCCTCCCTGCTTGTGGTCTCTCTTGCTATTTCTGTCACTATCTTTGTCTCTCTCAACTAAATAAAATCTTTAAAAAAAAAAAAAAAAGGAAAAGAGAGAGATCCCTGCCAGTAGAAGAACCTTAAGTAGGCTTTCTCTTCATCCTGGTAGCAGACTGAAAACCAATTTAGTAGCAGACAGGACAACCATTAAGTGTACTTTCTAAAACTTTGGCAATCAATATTGGAGTTAACAATTCTCTCTAAACCTAGGCTGAAACATATTTGCTAGAGAGCATTATGCCTCCCTTCTTTTAAAGGTAAAAGCTGTAGCTATATTTTGGCTAGGAAGGCAAATTATTTCAGAAATCCTAATAGTTTTTATGGGATTTGAGGTAGGTACTAGGTAAAAGAAAAATCTGTTTAATGAGAAGCACTGGAAGGCCTCAAGATATAGCAGAAATACTGCCTTAGAAAAACTAGCATGGACTCAAGAACACTGACTTGGATTCTGGGCAAGTCATTTAAACATTTCTAGGTCTCAGACTCTAATCTTAAAACAGGGTTAGAGAAGACTAGATCAGATCCCTAAGATTCTCTGAAAATCAAAAGATTTATCACCCTGGCTACTGGGAATTATATTAATAAGCTCAACACTGAACTTATCTATTACCATTCTCTTCTCAATAAGCCAAATGGGGTAAGTGCAGGAGTTAGCCAGCAGATTTTACTGACCTTACTTAAGATATATGGCAAGTACAGCACAGAGTGCTTACCTGACTTCTTCAAAGACCAATAAGTAAAAAAATAATAAACCCCAGTATTACGATATAATCCTGAAAGTTAAAGTATTTCTAATTATTTTGTGTTTGATAGTCTACGATAGAAAAGACATTTGTTTTTATAACATAAAATTAACAGTTTACATGGCAAGATGCCAAAAGATCCCATTCCCACGCTATCTTTGTAGTAAAGGCCACCACCAGAGGCCATTCACCTTCTTATTACTCAATTCCCAGGTATTTGGATGCTCAAAAGTTTAAGTAATTGATCCAAACATACTAGGTTATGACAGAGTATGACAAAGAATAAAAACTGACTTTATGGATCAACACAGAACCATTCCAATTATTCAGTCGGGGAAATGTCCTAGAATTACTAGATAGTGTTAGACTTCCTGCATCGATTCCCTTAAATAATCTATAGCCAAGAAAATAGACTTAAATTTCAAAACTGCCAAATAACCATGCCCTTTCCTCATTATATAGTGTATTTTCAATGAAAAGATTAAATCACCTTTCTGAAAAATGCTACTGATACAAATTATAATTCATTTATATTATAACCAATTACTTAGACCTGCTATAGATTCTATATAGTAATGATCTGCTACCAGAGGAAAAAAAATTAAATGTTACCCTTAACTTTTCACAACATTGTCTAAAATAGCCATTATATTTGGGTCATAGACAGGAAAAAATTGTAATTATAGTCTACTATTAAAATTCCTTTGTAAGACATTTTTAACTAAAAGCAAAACCAAAGTAGAGCAAAACATGAAAACCCTATTTTACCTCAAGAATGTAGTTCCATCCCTTTTCATTAAAGACATCATCCTGGAAATGCTCTCTATACACCTCTTTGGCTTCCTGGATCTTCTCTGCAGTCACTACTTTACCTGAAAAGACAAATTTCTCCTGTTTACATTTCTAAAGGCATTCTATAAATTGCTGAGATGCTGTAGGAATAATCTCTCTAGCTATTTTACCATTCTGTGTATAAAAAAACAAGAACTGAAGGGTTAATAATATCACCCAGAGTCAACAGCACAGCCAGAAAAGGAATTTACACTTCTGCTCACTCACCCTAAGCATGTATGTTCTTATCTGAAAAGCAGATGTGCAGAAGAAATTACTATGCATGTGGTATTTAAAAAAAAAATCAATAATAAGTTAACTTCTAAGATGATATTTTTTCTATCATTATTAATCTATATATTCTTCAAATTGGATACAGATAATTTTCCAGATAAATCTTTTTACTTTATTCATAAAGGGGATCTTCAGGCTACTAATCCAGTAATTTTCACAAGTACTAAGCTTTTGTTCCTCAAATACACCTTTAGTTATCGTTGGCTGTAAAAGGAGGATAATAGTAGAACACCTACTTACAGAATGACGGTGAGGACTAAGAGGGTTAAGACATGAAGCACTTAGCATAATGCTGGCCTATAATAGGCACTTAATTTTAGCTATAATTAATAATAAATAATAAAGTTTTTTAGCTATAGAACTGAAGAATGGCATCAGTCTTTAGTGACTTTATATAAGGTTACTTAGTAAACTCATTTAAAATATCTTGGGAAGTCTTGCTGCAAAGTACTTTGGATACTCAAATAGGTTTTCTTTTCTTTTTTTTTTTATTTATTTATGATAGTCACACACACACAGAGAGAGAGAGAGGCAGAGACATAGGCAGAGGGAGAAGCAGGCTCCATGCACCAGGAGCCCGACGTGGGATTTGATCCCGGGTCTCCAGGATCGTGCCCTGGGCCAAAGGCAGGCGCTAAATTGCTGCGCCACCCAGGGATCCCCTCAAATAGGTTTTCAATGGTGAAACATATCTGAACTATCTTAAAATTGCCAAGATTATGGAAAAAGGCAATTATCTGTAAAATTCAACTAATCTGTATTCACTTTTGAGATTATTTTTATTTTATACAGCTTCAGAGATGAAATTGTAAGTTCACAAAATGTATAAAACCTTTGGGAACTGTTCTCCCCCAAGAAATACCATTATAAAACATACTAGAAGTGGACTTTCAAATAAAAAGGCAAATAAATTATTTTGGGTTTTTTCCATCTTAAAATGCATTTGAGACTAAAGCCACAGTGTCAGGCAGTTCTGAAACATAGGCCTTTAAGATAAAATGGACTATGAAAAATATTTTTTATTTGCTACCATAATTCAAAATGAGTTCCCAGGTGAATAATGAATTCTTTGCTGTGAACTGACTTCAATCTATTAACTTACCAGATTAGCCTCAGAAAATTGACTTTTCTAAATTTATTCCCAAATTTATTAGTTTCAGAAAAATCTTTCTCATATTTAGAACAAGCACATATACCAAATTATAAGATTTAATGCATTCAAATTAACAGGTTTTCTACAATTCCAAAATAACCCTTAAAATAGTCAAAGTAATAAGTAATTACACCATTCAAAGAGTTACTTCAATCACAGAATATAACAATATAGGAGAAAAACTGTGAAGCATTACATAAAAGCAGCATTTTAAATGTACTAGGAAAAATAATACCTTTTAAGTACTTATGAAGAATGTACTGCAACCCATAAAATACTGTTTCCTCGTATTTCACCTTCTTTATTTTGGAGTTTTCTGTCTTCTTTTCACGGCATTCAAAGTAGGAATAAACTTTACTTGTATTGGGTGGGTACTGTTTATAGTGAGTAACCTAAAGGGAACAGAATTACTTGAGTTAGAGAACATCAGAATAGAATATAAATAATGACAGAAACGGCTTGAAATTATTTAAAACCAGAGAAATTACACATATTTGCTATTGATCAGCTTCTTTTCCTAGCTGTAAAGAATACAAAAATAAGCATCGAATTTATTAGGATACTTTTAATATTTCAGGATTTTTATTTCAAAACCAAAGGAGACTATTACATTTTATAAATCAAGAAACTGAATCTAAAGAGGTACGTGCCCTCTAAGGGGTCAGATGGACACTTGAAATCAAAGTTTGAAGAAAGGTATCTCATTTCATCTTGGGGAATGGTCTTCATTCAGAGAAAGAGAGATGTAGCTGACTGGGATGGGGGTGGGGTGGGGGGCATACCTATGATATAAAAAATGAACTGGAAGCAGAATTTAGTAGTTACTATCCAAATGTGCTATGTTTGATAAGTCACTAGTGAATGACTTCCCATGACTCTACTTCATCTGTTTAGGGAGGTAGTGAGAAGGACTCCTTTTGGTCTTCATAGTAACACTGTGAAAACCTTGATGTAAGCAACAGCAGCAGGAAAGAAATCCTGTTTTATAATATTACTTTTCTCAAATTCCCCTTGAATTGGGAAATAAATGCCTGTCCAATGCAACATCAAATCCTTAGGAGTTTAAAAAGCTGAATAAGTATTATCATACATTTCTCTCCCATGAATTTGGATTAAGAGTCACCATTGAAAGTTAATGTTTTTGTTTTAAGAAAAATATGTGTTCATTATAATTTGAATTTTCTTATACTTTAATGTGGTTAACACATTTTACCAATAGAAAGTAACTGGAAAAATAATGTGTATGTGCTTTGCTCAAACAGTAGAAATGAAAGTGCCTTAAAGCTTAAGATAGAAGGCAGTAAAGCAGGTAACAGTGGAATGATTGTTGCAGAACAACTTCCAAGGATGACCACTGTGGACCATCCTTCCTGTTTAGCTCTGTTCCTAAGTTTAGGGAAATCCAATGCTTTCCTTGTCTGACTGCACAATCCCAATAAAACTTGGCTTTAACCTAAAATGCCTTTGTAGTTTAGCACAAAAATTCTACAATAAATATACTCTATATAGAGAACCCCCCCCCCCAAAAAAAAAACACCATAAAAACCCTACACAAATGTTTAATAAGGGTTTCTTCTCCAAAAGAAGCAACTTGCAACTCTATGAAAACAGCACCCTGGGATCCCTGGGTGGCTCAGTGGTTTAGTGCCTGCCTTTGGGCCAGGGCCTGATCCTGGGGTCCCGGGATTGAGTCCCACGTTGGGCTCCCGCATGGAGCCTGCTTCTTCCTCTGCCTGTGTCTCTGCCTCTCTCTGTGTCTCTCATGCATGAATAAATAAAATCTTAAAAAAAAAAAAGAAAAGAAAGAAAAAGAAAACAGTGCCCTTATGCTGTTTGAAGGCAACCTGTGAGGTAAATCTTAAACCCAAAGATAGACACCAGAGTTTGGTTTGGGGTTTGGCTTTTTTAAGGTTAGAACCTTGACACTGATACCACTGGAAGCTGAAGTAGTAGCTCACTGAAATAGTTAAAACAAAACCCAGAGCAAAGACAACAAAATTTATATATGAATGACACCTTAGTGATAAATCATGACTACTTCAACTTAAGACACTAATTAGAAAAAAGGTAGCAACGCCCAAAAACATACCTAAGATGTATATAAAAACTAAAATACCCAGTTTACATCTCTAATTCCTTTAGTGGGAATAATCAGTGAAGCAGAACAAAGTCAACCATGATGAAGTAAAAATCAAATACAGGTCTGGATCACATCAGGCAAGTTTATAGAAGTCAGATTCAGAGTTGTGACTGTAGTTAGTCTGACCTTGCTGCAGTTCAGATACTTAAAGGTGTACCTTTTAAGTCTACCTTTTTTTATATCAGAATTTAAAAGTATGAGAAGGCAAATAAATTATTTTCATCTTCTGAGTGGACCAAACAGTGAAAAGCTGAATGGAAATGTTTCTAAACTATTTAACTCCACTTTGGCCTACAAGTTTACTAAAACTTTTCAATCACACAAATACAATTCCAGTTCTAGACAGTAACTGAGTATGTTTATAATTTTAAAGCTTTATGTCTGCCGTGTTATTTTATTATGTACTTAAAACTTTTGTATAAATATTCAGAATGCCTTCTCTAAAAACAAATGTCATTAAAAACACGAAACTGTCTAGGTTGCTTAATTAGAAATGAAGTGTAACTTCTCAAATATTCTTTGGAGAACTTTAGAGAACTGTTGTAGAATTTAGAAGCTAATTCTCAGGCAATTAACCACCTGCCAATGAACACCCGATATATTTATGGAATAAAATAGTATGCTTGGATCTATTTATATTGTCTTGTACCATTGTTTTAATGGGAAAAAAACTTTTTATTTTTATTTTTTAAAAGATTACTTATTTATTTATTTATTTATTTATTTATTTATTTATTTATTATGATGGGGGGGAGGGAGAGAGAGAGAGAGAGAGAGGCAGAGACACAGGAGGAGGGAGAAGCATGCCAGGAGCCTGATGTGGGACTCGATCCTGGGACTCCAGGATCGTGCCCTGGGCCAAAGGCAGGCGCTAAACCGCTGAGCCACCCAGGGATCCCCCGGGAAAAAACTTTTTAAACAAAGCTCCTTAGTAAATAGTATTCTAAGAACACAGCCAATAGAGAATTAATGATTCTGGTTTTACTAGGTTTACTATTCTCTTCATTTTATTTTCTGCTAAACTGCTCTCTCTGAACCCCTTGGAACCTTCACTAGAAAATGAGATACAGCAAAAAAAAAAAAAAAAAAAAAAAAATCAATTGTTATTTTATAGTTTACTCACAAATATATACTGTGTATCCACTAGGTATCAGACAATGTTTCAAGTACTGAGGATGGGAAAGCAAAATGGATGGAGAAGGCTTTTATTCTCAAAGGGCTAATGAGGGTTCAAAGGTCAGAGAAAAACATATAAATCAACAAAATAACTTCAGATCAAGATATAGGTTTGAAAAATTAAAAGACAATGTGGGTGAAAAATTAAAAGACAATGAGGGGCTAGAGGAGCCTGATAACTGCTGTCCACAGGGAGCCAGGAAGGCTTCTCTGAAATGGTGACATGTGACAGGACTTAAACTACAGGGAGATAGGAAGTACATTGATTTAAGGGACAGAAGACAACACCAGTGTGGCTGGTGCTTGCAGAGTAGGGAGGAGGAGGTAGATGGTAAGGTCATAGCAAGAGGCAGGGACAAGATCATGGAAGGCTTGTACGTTACCACAAGGAGCCTGAATATTACATCAAGTGCAACAGAAAACCATTAGTATGTTTTAAGCTGGAACAAATATGATCTGGTTCATATATTACAAGGATCAGCTTGACAGGTCGAGAATGGATTACAGGATGACTAAAGACGAAGCAGGGCCATCAGGTAAGAGGCTAAAGACTAGCTTAGGTGAGAGAAGTGGCTCATTTGGAGGTAAAGGAGAATTAGGTTAATAGATTCTATTTGGGGGATAAAATGGGGGAGGAATTAAGAATGTTTTCTACAGTTCTGGCTTGAGCAACTGGGTGAATAATGGTGCCATTTAGTGAGAGGAGGAAGGAATAAATTTGGAACTCAAGAGCTCAGTTTTAAATATATCAAGTAATACAAACAAAGTTTCATAGTATTCAAAATTAAACAACTACAGGAAGGGAGCTCCTAAATCATATATATATTTTTTAGCACTACTTTGACTTCTATCAATAGATAAAATGGAAAAAAAAATAGATAAAATGGTTCCACAATAAATTTAACATTATTTATATGATGAAAATAGCTAATTTCTATAATATTCTCAGCAAACTCTACCCCAAAAAATATTTCCTAAACTGGAATGATTTTCCTACAGCTAACAGAGCACTATCAGTCACAAACACATGTAAAGAACATAGACACACAGGAAATTTTAGCTCTTTTAATAGAACTTAATTTCACACTCATGTGATTAACTTCATGACAAACTAAAAATTATAATCTTTAGGCTAAATATCCTGTTCCAAGTATGATACTTAAAGAGAAATATGAGGGGTCCCTGGGTGGCTTAGTTGGCTAAGCATCCAACTCTTGATTGCAGCTCAGGTCACGATCTCAGGGTCATGAGATTAAGCCCTGTGTTGGGCTCTGCGCTGGATACAGAATCTGCTTAAGAGTGTCTCTCTCCCTCCTTTTTCCTCTGCTCCTCATCCCCCTACCCCACCAAAAATAAAAAAATAAAGAGAAGAGAAATATTTAAGTTGCATAGAATCTTTCTGTGAGAGCAAACTCTAAGTTGTTCTGAAGCTTCTCCATATTTCCTATAAAATTGATTTGATGTTTTTTTCAAGAGCTTTCCTCTCACAGTGAGATCACAAGATCAAAGGCAACCACTACTAACCTACTTTACCAGTTATAATTTTAACAGCTAAGAAATGATCAAAAACCAAAATTTTAACAATACCATGTGTACATAAGAGCGCATGGATTAATATATATATAATGTCACAAATAAGTTATATTATCTATATAATTTGTAAGGGCACTAAGAAGAGAATCCACTTAGCCTCAGACTTTCTGCCTTGTCAATGCTCATGTGCTAGAAATAGCAAAATAATAATAATGATTCTTTCTTTTCTTCAACATTATTTAAGATTTCTCAAGCCCTGGAGATACTTCCATTGCTGCAGAAAGTTATTTTTTGTTATCTGGCTTCTGAAGCAATAATAACCTCAAAAATATGGCTTAATGATTTTTGGACTAAATTTTGGAGAAGAGAGGAAATTGTCAAATCACTATAATCATATTGCCCCTTCCCCTAAACCTCCTGGCACAGAGTTCTTGAAAATTTGTACTTTTTTTTATATGTATATTTTTTATTGAAGTTCAATTTGCCAACATATAGTATAACACCCAGTGCTCATCACCCAGTCACCCGATCCGTCTGCCAATC